AGTCAATTTCAGTAAACAATTTTGCAACCAAGGAAAACTGCTAATAGGGCTGCCAAGTAAATTTTAAGTATAATCCATGAACGTTTCAGGAATTTCTCGAATGCAGTCTGACCACATTCGCCCTGAAGACTCCAGACTGTGCTCTTAAATCAAGCTACAGAGTTACTTATTACCTTGTTTTGTTGAAGAAGGACAATCACTCTCCTTCTCAGGCTTCTTCAAATTTATTTCTCCAAGATGTAAAGCTAACTGCTCAAATTGAAGACTTCTCACACCCATACTCTGCCTGAAGCAGATTGGTTTTGGACAGCTTCAGTTGGAAATGTTTGCAATTTTCCAAACAAAGCTGGGAAGAAATTGTATTAAGTAACTCGATTGTTTTATGAATAGGATCGGCGCTCCTATTCTTTGGGGCAAAACTCAAATAAAGCTTTTCTGTCCTTCTGGAAATCCATTCAAGCTGTTAGTAATTAAGAAGAATTAAACACACAGTTTATAAACCTGAAACTTAAAAGTCACATGAAACTCTGCCCAAGTGCCAGTTCAATTAAAGACATATCCCATTGCTAAATTAATAACTATGTGTTTCACCAAGGTTCAAGAGTCAAGGCTGCTTTAACACAAGAAGGCTCACATGCAAAGCTACAGTGCCTATACTCCTGCTATTCCTCAATCTTTTCAATTTAATTTACAAAACCAAAACCCTAAGCACTTCAGAATCACAGCAGTGGCCCAAAAAATTATACATGAGTGAACTTCAACAGGTAGGGAGCAAGAGGCATGCTACCACACCTTTTTTGTTTATACAAGCAGAGATGCATTTCCTCTAATGAACCTGATTTGCTCACTTACTTAAATTCCAGTCTGATATCAAGGCACTGAATAGCTTTAACACTCCCATATCCACCTGTTCATTTCAGTCTTTCACGAAATAGGTTTGGAGCAACTTCCTTATCAGAAAGAGCAAGAACCTAAAAGGCACTTTCTATCACTGCTTGTACTGAGCTTACATGGCATAGTTTTGTTATTACAGGGACTGCAGGGATAGTCTCTGCAAGAAGTCACCAGAAGCTGCTCCTATGTTGGATTCAGCCAGTTCCAGATAGCTGCAAAAGAGAATCACTGCTGGTCAATAATAGTTTCGCCTCCATGATAACATTTTTAAGAAATACTAAAAGATTAAAAAAAAAGAAACTGTAAGAGCAGACTGAGAAAACACAAGAAAAACAGCCCCGCAGACACCATGGTCTAAGAAGAAATAAGAGGGACAATGGAGAGGAACAGGATACAGAAATTGTCCCCCTACAGCCTCAGGGCACCACACGGAGCAGGTCTGTCTCTATGTGCAGCCATGGGGAAGCCCACAGTACAGTAGTGCACGTAGCCTGAAGGACACTGCAGCCCATGAAGCAGGCTCCAGGTCTAAGCTGCAGCCCAACGAGGAGCAATTCTCTCCTGAAAGATGGACTCATTCATGTTGGAGCAGCTCTTGAAGTCCTGTATTCTGAGGGAAAGAACCACACTGTAACAATTCATGAAGGACTGTATCCAACACAGGGTCAGCCCCACCACAGGAGCTGAGGAGGAGCAGAGGAGAGAGGAAGTAGAAGAATCAAGGCTGAAGTTGAGCTTGGGAAGAAAGGGGAAAAGGGGTATTTATAGTTTGTCTTTTTTTCATTTCTTACTCACTACTCTTATCAACTGACAATAAATCAATCTTAATCAAGCCAAGTCTCTTTTGCCTGTGATGGTAACTCATGAGAGACTCTTCCGTCCTTATTTCAACCCACAAATTTGCTCATTTTCATCATATTTCCTTTCTCCTCCTTTTGCTGAAGAGAGGGAATGAGAGGCTGACACCTGGCAACCACCTGAAATTAACCCAGCAGACTGATGCACGTACAAACCAAGAAGAAAAACACTGGGGCTCCAACATTCTTCCTTCTCTGCTCTAGTAAGCACGAGAGAAGAGCCACATGAGATGACTGTCTCTGAAAGGACAACAACCATCCACAAGCTTCCACTGAAGTCAAATTGTAACAGGGTGGGAGAGAGTAATGAAAAAAGCAACGACAAAATAATTTGTCATATTCCACGAAGAATGCATATTGCTATAGTACAACAGCATTTGCACTTACTTCTATACAGAACCCAAGTTTGTATTCATACTCTTGCGGTCTTCTGCACAACTTTCAGTTTTCTGGTGAATTTTCAAACTCAAACTTCATCGTATTTTTTCCTGTTCAATTTTTCCAGCATTACTACTCAAATCTAGAAATCACACTCATGATTACTGTTTGGGCACATAGAAAGTCTGCCCTGTTAGGTCACAATGCCAAGAATTCATCTACTCGAGCATCTCTCTGATTTTTCACAACGAACACTGTTTTTTTAATACTCTCACTAGAAAGCGCTATACAAGTTTTCTAATCAGGACAGACAGACCGCACACTGCCAACAGTTAAATTGCCTTGCCTCAACTTTCTAACAGAAAAGCTCCATACACTGCATTGTAACTTAGGAAGTTTATTAGGTTGCTGCAGCACAGCACGGAGCTATGCATAAACTCTCCTACACAAATTTTACCTTAATCTACAGAACAATTCCACTTCTTTGACTGACAGTTTAGCTCTACAAAATAGATCCTTAGAGTCAGAGAAGTCTCTGCAGATCAAGTAAACTAAGTTAGAGAATAATACTGTTCCTGTTCACTCCTCAGTGCCACATGTGCACAGTAGGTCCTTCTGGCAGGAAGAGCTGAAAACAAATCTGTTCAATCATGCGGTGCTTCTCAGGATTACGCACGGAAAAAGTAGTAACAGCGAGTATCACATTAATCACAACACTAAATGTTCACCATTGGTCTTAGGATATTTTAACCCTTAGGAGCAACAGATGAGAACTATCGGCAGTTATTCACTTCAGTGTTTGAAGACCAGACCCCAGTAAAATACAGTACAAAAGAAAAACTGTATAAACTGGATACAGACACTGCTAGTCCAAGAGATGCAAAATGGAAACCAAAGCTTAAGACGTTAGTTGAAGCTGAGTTTATAACTACCGCAAGTCAAGACCATGGAGGGGTTGAAATTTAGCCCATAAACTGTGACTCACTTAGGTTTTTGAATGCATACAACCTCGTACACCTCGCACTTTTAGAAGAAAGTCTGCCTGTACCCAGTACTTTGGAGGTCAAAGCATCTCTACAAGGTCCCAGAGACTACATTAAGTACTGCCCGGCAGCTGGATCACTGCTAGCAGTTCTACTAGCAGACCACAGAGATTAAACCATATCAAATACTAAACCTTGAAATAGGAAAAGAGATTGTGAACTAAATGGTTTTTTTCAACAGATGCACTAATCTTCAGTTTTTTCGTCTTGTTTACTTCAGTTGAATGTTTTCTGTTCACTTCACATTTAACCGAGATATCCCCTTTGTTCTGATTTTATCATGTTCTTGAGAGAGTTGCAGCTGTTTATACTTTCCTTTGCTCATATCTCTCTCTACACTCAGTTCTACTTGTGCAAGTGCAATCCTTCTGACCTTTTTTCTACTTACTAACACCATGGGATCAGAAAAAGTAATCCATAACCACCAAGAAAACTTCAGACTTAATTATGGTAACTGTAAGAAAATGGACATAAACGGTCACAGAATTAGTGAAAGCAAAGAAATCCCTTCTCCTTAACTCTTTACTAGACACCATCCCAAATGAGGCCTGGGCTGAATGAAGTAAGCACTGGACTAATAAATGCTACTAATATGTACAAATGCAGGTGTAATATTTCACCGTTCTACCATTCAGTAAAGACATCTGCCCGTGTAAGCACTGAAGCTAGTTACTCCAGCCACTAGCACACGATGCAGAAGGGCACAGTTCACTACTGGCTCTCTTCCCTGCTTCTCAGGGAAGCTCTGTGTTCCACAGCAAGTCCTGTGCTGGGGGATACGCCGGGGCAGCACAAGGTAAGCAAGTTACACAACGTCAGGGCTGATGTTCCTTATTTGGCCCCTTTTGAGAAGCAGGAGGCTGTCCACGGTATTCCTGATACGCGCCGTCTTCAAGTGCTCAGTCCCATCAATGGGCACACACAGGGTCTGCCCATAGCTTTAGAAGCCAGGCTTTGCATCGACCCTCTGCAGCTCACCTCCTGGTCATCTCTAAGAGAAAAAACAAAAACACCTACGCCTGACTTTATTTTTTTCCCGTCGGTACAAACACACCCCTCTCCAGCCGTACGGCAGAAGCCTCAGCGCTGAGCCGGAGCTAGCAGCGCGGCAGCGCTCTGCAGGAGAAGCCGCATCTCGAAGCCACGCTCCGGGAGCACGCCGCACAGCCCCCCGCGAGATGATGGCTGCGCCTCTCAGCAACCGAGCGCCGCGCACACCTCCTAGTTTATGTAATGCAGCGCACAAGGTTACACCCTTCGGAAGGAACACGCAGCCCGAGGCGACGTATTCCATCGCGGCACATCTGGAACGGCGGCGGCCGCGCGCTCCGTGCCGCCGGTTCGGTCCGGCGGGGGCCCGCGCAAACCAACGGCCCGGCCCGGCCGGTCACGTGGCCGCCCCCCGCGGGGAAGCGGGAGCGGCGCCCCGAGAACCGCTACGCGCCGCGGTTCGCAGCCGGCGCCGCCGGACGGGACCTCCGGGCTCGCGCAGCGCCCGGCGCGGCCCGGCCTCGGCGGTAAGGCGGGAAGCCCCGGGCGCCCGCCACCGTCACGGAGGTGCGGCGGAGGCACGGGCGGGGGAGGAGCCTCCGCCGTTCAGGTGGGAAAACACAAACACAAAGGGCCCCGCCGGCACCTGCCGCCCCCCGGCAGCGGAGCGTCCCGGCGGGCGGCCGCCCGTCTCCCCACCCCGGGCCCGGCGGGACGGGAGCCGACGACAGCCGACAGGCGGGCGGGGCGGGGCGCACACAAAGAGCCGGCCGGGCCGGGAGCGAGGGGCGCGGGGCAGCTCCCCGCCCGCCGCCCCGAGAGAGGCGGTCCCGCTCACCTGCTTGCCCCTGTAGAAGAGGCGCTGGCGGTCGGGGCTGACGCGGAAGGTCTCCTGGATCTTCTCCCGCAGGCACTCGATCTTGGTCAGCCGGCTCAGGTCGTCGATGGTCTGCGTCTCGGTGCCGTCGATGGTGCGCACCTGGATCCACATGGCTCGTCCGGCCGCGGCGCGGGGAGGCGGGACGCGGCCGCTCCGCCGCTCTCGGGGTGCGCGGCCGCGGCGTGCGAGGCGGGAGGAGAGGGGAGGGGGCCGGGCGCGTCCCCGCTCTTTGTTCGGATCGGCGGGGCAGGGTTTTTAAATCGCGCGGAACGGGCGCGAGGTTCCCCGCCCGCCGGGCCGCCGGCCCCGCTCGGAGGGGACGCGGGGAGGGCGGGACAGCCGAGACGAGCGGCTGCGCGTCGCAATGAGCCGCGCCGCGCCGCCCCGGAGTCAGCGCGGGGCTGAGGCGCGGCCGGGCGGGAAGCGCCGCGCCGGGGCTAACGGGCGCCGCCGAGAGCCATCTCCCAACCCCGGGGAGTGTTTACCAGGCGCCGCCGCTCTCACATGGAGGTCACGGCGCCAACGCCGCTCTCGCGAGAGCCGCCGGCCGCGGCCGTAAAGAGACAACAACACCGGGGCGGGGGCGGGGGGCGAGGGAAGCGGGCAGCGCCACGCCCCCTCCCGCTGCGCCCGGGCCGCCGGCCCTCGCGCCGCATTCGGCGCCACGCGCGGCCCCGCCCCGCCCCGCGCGCCACGCCCTCCGCGCGGGCCCCGCCCGCCGGCTGGCGCGAGGCGGTGGGGGGAGGGGTTGGCGCGCTACGGGGGAGCGACCGTTACGTCTCCATGGCGGTCGCGCGGGACGGCTCGCCGCTCCCTCCTCCGCCCGCCGCGGGACTCGCCGTCTGCGGCCGAGTCCGGCCCGGGCTCGGCGGCGTTCGAGGGGAGAACCGCGTGTGGGCGAGGAGTAAAACGGGGGGCCGGTAGCACGCGAGCCCCGGGCTTCTGAGAATGTAAAATCTCGACTTGGCCCCGTGCGGCGGTCCCTCCAAAACGCAAATTGAGGCCGGCCGAACCCGTTACGTGACACAGGCGGACGTGTGCGTGGGCCGGGGCAAGAAGCAGCCATCCCCATTTTTACCGCGGATCCGATGTTGGTTCGGCTGCCGTCAAAAAACTTGGTGATTCTACAACTTGACATCAGAAAAATGGATTTCTGCCATCCTGCCGTGGTTTAACCCCAGCAGGCAGCGGCACCTTGCAGAAAAGCCGTGGGCTGAGATTAAGAGAGATTAACAGTTAAAGCAAAAGCTGCGCCCACGGGCAAAGCAAGATCAGAAATGAATTCAGCACCTCCCCTCGGCCCGCAGATAGGTGCTCGCTGCTTCCGGGACTGCGGTTCACGTTAGCATCACTTGGGAAGACAAACGCCATCACTGTGAACGCCTCGTGCCTTTCCTCTCTTATGTCACCCTCATACCTTCCATTGCTGAGCACGGCCACGTGGCACGGAACGCCCTTCTGCTGGCCAGGGCCGGCTCTCCCGTCTGTGCCCCCTCCCGGCGTCTGGGCACCGCCAGCTCTGCAATGGAGACGGTGCGAAACAGAAGGTCGTGACTCTGCAAGCACTGCTCTGAAACAAGGCTATGTTATCAGTGCTGTTTTGGTCACAAATCTGAAAAACAGGAGCTCCTGTGAGGAAAATTAACTATTGCAGCCAAAAACTGCACATATATATACTGGCAAAATGGTTCGATGGAAATGTGTCTGATAGAGAGTTCAGGAAAAGCTGGGAGATGGGTGAATGGTTGCATTTGGGAGTAATTCAGAGCATTTTTTTTGTCTGAGTTTAAGACCGGTAACAAGATTAAAATACAGAATTATTAAATACAGACAGGTCCAGAAGCCCCCTGTGCATTTTTGTGGCTTCTTTGTGGTAGGTGTTGAAAATGTCACTGACGTAGTACTGAGTCAGAGGGAGGAACAGATCATAACCAGTGTTTATTAGAAAGCTTTTTACTAATTACACTTCTTATTTATAGCACATAACTGCATAGTGCACACTGTTTCTCCCTCACAGAGAGCACACATGGGGGTTACCCAGCTGCAGCAGCAGCAGAAAGCCCATCCTTGGCACTCACGAAGTAGCAGAGAATCCTGCCTATTCTCCCAGGTTTCCTGTTCAGTATGTCCCTTGCAGGGCGCTCCTGCAGTAGGTGCACACATGGTGCTGCCCTGCGGTCTCTGTGAACCAGCAGCAGCCACTGCCTCTCAAGATGTGGTGTGGGTTACGCCTCCCATCCCAGGCAGCAGGCTATGCTGAAGGCCTTGTGCAGGCCTAGCACCGACTCAGCATCCTGAGCTTAGAAGTTGCTCCAAACATGCTGTTGGCTCTTGAGAAGTTGCTACCTGCCAGCTTGTACTTTCCCTCTGATCGCCCTGATGATGTTTGGTGCCATGCACAACCAGAAGTGCCTTTAAAGCCCATTCACACAAACACAGATTTGGTGGCAAAGTATGGTAGTACAGATTCCTATATTTCACTTTTAGGTTTGGGAATTCCCACTGCAGTTCTGAGTGAGTTAACTTGGGCTTGATTTTGGGGGGTATTGAGCATGTGCAAAGGCAGCTGAAACAAAAGTTTCTCAATTATTCTGCTCCTTTCTTTCTTGTCCTTGCTAGTCCATTTCCATTTTACAACAACTTTCTTTTTACTTGACACTGCCACAGCAAGTTGCTGAATTGCCCTTTACACAAATCCAGATTTTCATTTGCTATTTGTGGTTATAACACAGGCTCATACTTAAATGGTATGGGCTCATACTCAAATGGTGAAGTACTCATCATCATTTTAGCTCTTTTGGCCCCAGCCTTCTTGGGCTTCCTGAAACATTCAATTATTGTTTAACTTAGAGGTTAAGAGGTTAAGAATGGTTTAATAGTTATATCCGAAATAAAGATAAATCAAGTTGTCTGCAGATTCATCTTAGACACCATCTGTACACTAAAAAGAAAGGAATCTCAGTATAAATCTATATGTAGAAATTGATCTTTCTGTTGAAGCAAGCACTGAAATGTCTCTCTTCAACAGCAAAAAATCTGAAAGAATTCTGAAATTGAGCATGTTATTCCATACTAGAGAGAATAGCAGCAGTTTGTGCTAGAGAAACTTTATGGAAAGCATGTGATGGACTATTAGAACAGGAAATGTTTTTTTGTAGGGGACAAAAAATGAACAAGGATCCATTTGTTATTACAGTATACAAGGAAATAAATTTTGTGGCAGTGGCTGTAGAGAAAGGCAGATCAGGTTGCTGCCACAGGAGTGACTGAGTAGAAGGAGCACACACAGTTATGAAATGATTGATTGTGCTAGTGGGCTGCTTTATAATATGTGTCCTGTGGCATGGATACTAGGGGGAAAAATGAACAAAAAATAAAAAATACTTGCTTGAGAATCTACCAGTAGATGTGAAAAGAGGCAGTTACTGAGTGTTTAGAGTAACAGAGAGGTGGCTGTTCAGAAAACAACAATGTTCTCTCTGGAGTAAGGGTGGACTGATAAACAAATTATGGTAAAGCAGAAACTGGAAAGCATATGTGGTGGACTGGAGTGTTAGTGGCAGAAGAATGACTAGAATGAGCACAGAACAGAAATAAGTTAGCTCTGAAAGTAATACCTCCTATTTTATAACATTGGCCCACCATGTCAGAGGTGGATATTGTTGGTACAGCAGTAGAGTTTGAACCCTCCTGACAATATTCCATTACATTTTGATGCCATGTGACAGGTGGCAGCAGAGGGGCAGACTGACAGAACAGTGTCTGGTATGGAAGCTAAGGTGTGTCAATCAATTCCTCCACATGGAAAAAATGGCACTCACTGACATACATCAATACTTGCCAAATGTTTCTAGAGACCAAACAGTTGAAGAGAGCACAATGAGGTGGTGGCAACAGCAACGTTAAAGACAAGCCATATTCTGGATGGACACGCAGATTTTTACAAGCAAGCATGCAAGCTTTTGTTCGTCACTGGTGAAAATATGTAACTAATGGTTGTGACTATATTGAAAAATAGTATTTTGTAGCTGAGAACTTGCTCTATTAAACAGTACTATTGTGCTCTTTGTACCTGTTGTCATTTCCATGGAAATAAATAGGAGACATTACTTTTGGAGTGACCTATGTATATTCTTTGTTTACCCATAGGAGATCATTTATTTGTTTGAATGACTTAATGTATTTAAAATCATGGGAGTAGGCAGAAAAAGCCGTAGAGGTGCTCAACAGACAGACAAATATATATGAGGAAGAATTGGAAAAATGGAAGCGTAAGACAAAGCCAAGGAAGCAGAAAGAAAACAGCAGAGGAGGGAAACACATGCCACTCAGTTTCAAAGAGAAGCTGTGTAAGAAGGAAAAGACAAAGAACATTTTATAGGATTATTTTTCTAACAAACTCTATGCCTGAGAGCCCTTCAACGTTTTATAGGCAATGCAATAACCTGTGTGGATGCTTTGGTACTGTTTTGCTCAGATGTGCCCATCTGTCTTCCAGGGAAGAAGAGTAGAAGTAAATTGAAATTGTGCATCAACTGTACTTAGTAGAAATGTATCACTCAGCTCCAATGACGTCAATGTGACCATTTCAGTGTAAACATGTTGGGAAAGAAATGAGGTCAGTTGACTTAATTAATCTGTTTTAAACTTAATGCAGTGAGAGAATATATTTTGTTGCAGATAATGCATAGGAATGATACCCTATATATAGAACTGACTATTAATTCCATCACATAATAGGAAACAGCAACCTATGAGTAGGAAATCCTAATGTATATACTTTTATTTGATTATTATGGGTAAAGAACACCTAATGTGTTTGTCTCACTGAAAATAATACACCTGCCAGAAGGGCTGGGGCATGAGAAAGTGTGAGTTCTGCAGCAGCTGGAATGGGAGAAGATCCCGATCAAGAGTTCTGGGCATCAGAGCAGTGACTGTTTTGTCCCCATTAAGAAGTAGCAAATGTATACTTTTTATTTACAGTGAGAAAAGACCTTGTCCTTAAAACAGCACAGCTGGGTGCCAATTCTACATCTTTCTTTAATGCCTCATACTTGTTTATGGAGATAGGTCCCTAGAGTTCAGGGAAGTGACATGAGCCATAGATTATACTTTATAGAAGCTATATTACAATTTTATTCAATTTCTGTTGTGAAACAGGTAAGGAGAAATAAACATAAGGATACTAATAATTTTAATAATCTCTGTCTAGAGTAAAGTCAAAGGCTTGTTTCTTCATGTAATTCAGCTATTAGTAGCTGTTAGTTTAAGAACTAATTTATCTCAGTATGTGCTTTTAAAAGCTATATCTTTCATTTTATTAAGATTGTGATCTTTTTTCTTTCAGGTGTCAGGTGTCAGGTGTATTTCATACACCTGAGGGTAACAATGCATAGGATCACAGCCTGTATGTGATTTTGTTTTTTTTCATTAGTTTGAATTGTTTGCAATAGTTTAGGTATTCATATGGTATAGTGCAATATGTAAGCAGCTGATTTTCTTTTGGAAATGCAGTGATTTTATCAAGAATTATTGTATTATAATTGTTATTATAAATTGCTATAAATCCTACATTAACTGAAGTTAGAAATGATGTATTATGTTTTGGTTTA